AATACTTCAACAAAAACTGTAACTCAATGAAAAATGCTCACAACTCTAGAAAAATCCGTGATGTGGCAACTAAACCGTCAATACATAAGCAGACCAACGAAATACCGAAAACTCCAATTTCCCGGAAAAATTTTCAACTTCACTTAAACTAGAAACAAGAACAAATAATCCGACTGATTTTTCGGTACTGAGAAGGTTCTCATTTGCTCAAATCACGACAAACCCTTTTTGTCGTGATTTGAGCAAATTACGACAAAAAGGGTTTCAATATAATATTTAAATACATTTCATCTGACAATTGATTGCTTTTAATAAACTTTCGTTAGATTTAGCAGAAAATTTGGCGGTGTTAATAGAGACATGATGTAGATTGACAAATATTAAATACTTTAAAATTTCATTGTGTATAACATTGATTTTCAAGCATGAAACAAACTAAGAGCTATTTCCTTCTCCACAGAAAAAAATTCTCCAAAAGTACAAAACTTAGTGAGGATCAAAACACTTCACAGGGAATCATTAAGAAAGAATCAATAAGAAAGAAAATTACAGTTGAAGCCATTCATACAGACGGTGAACATTTTGCTTAAACAAAGAAAAAGAAGAAGAACAGCTGGTTGTTGTGCAAGTACCTCAGAAAATTCTGAATACGTTAAAAAACTCCATAGGGGTTTTCATTTTTTCTTCAAGTTCGTGTCGTTTTTAGAGCAAGGTGTGGTAAGAGAATTATGAAAACGTGTAAAAAACAATGCACTAGACAAAACCAACAATACTTGTCGTCAAAAAATGAATGTCATACAAAAAAAACACATTTTTTAAATTTCTTCTAATTTTTGGGAGAACTTTTTTTTAGAAAAGCTTTATTGCCAAAGAAACGCTAAATGAAACATCCTGAACTAGTTATCAATTCCAATTTCTCGGAAAATTTTCAACTTCACATAAACTAAAAACAAGAACAAATAATCCGACTGATTTTTCGGTGCTGAGAAGGTTCTCATTGGAGCTCAAATCACGACAAAAAGGGTTTCAAGATAATATTTAATTACATTTCATCTGACAATTGATTGCTTTTAATAAACTTTCGTTAGATTTAGCAGAAAATTTGGCGGTGTTAATAGAGACATGATGTAGTATGACAAATATTAAATACTTTAAAATTTCATTGTGTATAACATTGATTTTCAAGCATGAAACAAACTAAGAGCTATTTCCTTCTCCACAGAAAAAAATTCTCCAAAAGTACAAAAATTAGTGAGGAACAAAACACTTCACAGGGAATCATTAAGAAAGAATCAATAAGAAAGAAAATTACAGTTGAAGCCATTCATACAGACGGTGAACACTTAGCTTAACAAAAAAAAGAAGAAGAACAGCTGGTTGTTGTGCAAGTACCTCAGAAAATTCTGAATACGTTAAAAAACTCCAAAGGGTTTTCATTTTTTCTTCAAGTTCGTGTCGTTTTTAGAGCAAGGTGTGGTAAGAGAATTAAGAAAACGCGTAAAAAACAATGCACTAGACAAAACCAACAATACTTGTCGTCAAAAAATGAATGTCAAACAAAAAATTACAAAAAAAAACACATTTTTTAAATTTCTTCTAATTTTTGGGAGAACTTTTTTTTAGAAAAGCTTTATTGCCAAAGAAACGCTAAATGAAACATCTTAAACTAGTTATCAATTCAAATTTCTCGAAAAATTTTCAACTTCACATAAACTAAAAACAAGAACAAATAATCCGACGGATTTTTCGGTGCTGAGAAGGTTCTCATTGGAGCTCAAATCACGACAAAAAGGGTTTCAAGATAAACTTAAAGTACATTTCATCTGACAATTGATTGTTTTTAATAAACTTTCGTTAGATTTTGCAGAAAATTTAGCGGTTTTAATAGAGACATGTAAACTGACAAATATTAAATGTTTTCAAGTTTCATTGTGTATAATATTAATTTCAAGCAGGAAACAAATAACGGCATTTTTTCGGCACAGAAACAAAATTCTCAAAATTACAAAACACGGTGAGGATCAAAAACACTTCACGTGAAACCATCAAGAAAGAAAATCACTATTTTTTGCGTGCAAAAAAATACCCTTGAAGCGATTCACACAGACGGTGAACATTTCGCTTAACAAAAAAAAATAACAAAAGGAGGACAGCTGGTTGTTGTGCAAGTAGCTCAGAAAATTCCGAATACGTTATAAAACTCTGAAACTTTTTTTCTTCGACTTGGTGTAGTTTTTAGAGCGTGGTGTGCACTAGACAAGACCGACAGTATATGTCGTCAAAAAATCAATGCCAAACAAAAAATTACAAAAAATTTAAATTTCTTCAACTTCAACAAAAGGAGGACAGCTGGTTGTTGTGCAAATAGCTCAGAAAATTCCAAATACGTAATAAAACTCTGAAATTTTTTTCTTCGACTTAGTGTAGTTTTAAGAGCGTGGTGTGTACTAGAAAAAACCGAACGTATTTGTCGTCAAAAAATGAATGCCAAACAAAAAATTAGAAAAAAAAATTAAATTTCTTTTAACTTTTTGGATAATTTCTTTTTTTTAGAAAAACTTAATTGCCAAGGAAACATTAGAAGAAACAGCCTAAACCAGTTATCTATTAAACATAGCTAATCGAATTAGAAAAGAGTAATGACCGCAAGTAAACATAAAAAGAACACTGACTTTGTTGAAAAATCTCAACTTTCGAATTTCGAAGAAAAAAATAGATGCCATTTAACCTTTTTGAATTTCTAGAACAATTTGTTTGGCGCTTTTTTGATAACATGAACCCAACTACAGGACTTTGGATCAATAGGTAAAGTTTTTATTCTGCGGGAAATCCAAAAATTAAATTCCACTTTCGAAACTAGAAATCGTTCACGTCTTTTCTTGCCATTTCCACGTTCGTATTTGGAGAGTGCTATTTACGTAACTTTCATCAGATTCATTTCAATTGAACTCAAAAAAAGCATACATACCTAAGTACATTCATAGATGCATCAATATGTATGAATGCACATCTGTAGTTATAAGAGACTTTTAAGACTTTTCCTGAAAAAAAAAAACAAAAAAGCAAGACTATAAAAGCAAAAAGCAAATATAAAGAAAATATAACTGTCTATTCGTGGGTTTGATTTCGTATTTTAATTAAATTTTTCAATGAAAAAAAAACTGTGAGAAAATGTGTAGCCCAGCAAAAAAAAACAGAATAGAAGTTTCCGACCAGTTTCATGCGCAAAAACAAAACAACATAATAAAATCATTTTCATCATGGTCGCAAAACTTAGTGAAATAAAAGGGATGGTACTTTTGTGGTTCTATTGGAAAAAGAATATTTTCAGCTTTTGAACTATTAAAACCTTGTTTAAAACCAAAATGTTCCAAAAAAAATTTGAAGATAATATTCATATGAACAAAAAAATGCCTGCAAAAACAGAAAATGAGAATGACCTGGAACACGTGACTCATCAATTCCGACCATTGAAAACTTTTTTTCCCGCAAAATCAAGTACCATATAAAAACATTGGAATGGGTAAAGAGAAATATCATATTAAAGCCCTTTAAGTCGCGATTCCAACATAAAAAAAATTCAATGTCGAGAAAAGCCGCTGGGAAAATTTTATGAATTTTGGTCCACTTTCGAGCTAATAAGTTGCGCGTGCTAGCTTACAATAGCTTATTCATGTTTAATTTAAGCTATGAAAACTTAGCCTTACTTGAGTAAACTGCATTTTTTTAGCGCCATTTCGGGAATCACAAAAAACTTCTTGGAAAATAGTTGGAAAATTCAAAAGTTTTTAAAGATTTTTGTTTCATATTTCTAGTCATTTTTTTACAAAAAATGTTTTCCACTTGGCCCATTTTACTATGGCTATTGAATGTACCTAAATTCTTTTTTTTTTTCGTTCAGGTCCTTCGATCTTACCACGCAGAAAAAAAAGAACTAAATTGGAAAAAAAATTTTTTGTATTTTTAAAAGACTATGGTCGGAAAATTCTGTGCTACCTGCAAAGCAACCGGCTATCCTCTTTCACTCTTGCTTCTAGTTCTATAAAAACTGGTAGCAGTTTTTCTTTTCGTGGGAAGTTTATCGTACTTTCCGATTACAGTTCGAACCACGATTAAAGTTTGGTTTACGTACATGACTCGGCCATATCTTACCATTATTTATGATACCTGATTTAAGTTGCAAGCAAACTTCGCAACACAATACAAGGAACGCCTGTTGCTGTGCACACAGCACAAAAACTTCCGAACGCAAAAAAAAAACATTCCGCTTTGAATCCAGGACCCTTTCCGTCCCAGGCGTATTCGTTACCTCCTGGTTAAGAGTACCCGGGCCGGGATACAAAGAAATTTGAATTCATTTTGAACCACGGTAGCACCAGATGAGTCTTGAGAAAAACGTTTTAACGAGACAAAAAGTCTAGACCCTTTTGCAACTCCTATGCTAATGATTAGGGTGAAACAAAAAATAGTTTAATTGAGTAAAACTAAATGTTCACGGCTTAACTTGAAAGGCCATTGGCCGAAGTTTTCCCAATTGATTATCTCGCTGAGAAAGTTTAATGTTCACATTCTCTCTTGTTGAATCGATAGGAATACTTGCGCTTTATAAAATTACGCTTGAATGACACTTTCTTAGTCACCCAGGTGGAGGCCTAACTCGGAGTTTAATTATTTAAGTTCAATTTGAGCTCACTTAATCAAGATCAACCCATTAAGCTAGGGCTATTTTGCTATCGCTCACCTTGCAAAATAGCAGCTCACGTGCGATTTGAACCCGCAATCATATGATTGTCGGTCATTATCACAACCGGATACGACAGAACGCCATGCAAAAAAAAAAAAAATTTTATTCAAAGGAAAAAACTGGTTTTTAAAGACGCATATACATGATCTGCTTTTAGCTGCAGACACCTCAGCGTGGACTATTTTTTCGTTTCCTCATCTAATCATTCATGTTCTTTTGTGAATGGGAAAATTAATTATTCATTTATTTCCTTCAAACGAAGCAATGAAAAAACTCTGTACCTGCATCCAGTGCAACAGCAATCTCATTTGTCAATTACTACCTGCATAAAACTCTCCTACCTGTATTTCTCAGCCAGAATAGCTCAAATGGCTATGGTTTTGCACGAGTGTTCTCCCGAAGTGAAAGTAGAGATTGACTCCCAAATAGCGCGACTGTTCTCTGATTTGAAGACAAACCAGGAGCCACGCGGATTTATTGAAATACTTGCGGATTCTGTTCAGGAGAAAAACAAGGAAAATACAAGTTTCCGGGTTAGAGCTAGAAGGTAAGTACGTTAAAAAAAACATACATTTCACCAACGTCAAGAATAAAGCCTATGGCACGTATGAAAGCATCGGTTATTTTCAAAACTGAGCGTAAATTTTATAAAAACCGATCACAGTAAAAATTTTAGGTTAAATGACTCAAATATTGATCTTTTACTGAAATTCAGCTGTTTTTTTTTTCGAATCAAAAGCTACAATTGAAAACTTTTGCACAACAACTTTTCTTTTTATACTATAAAAAGTTATCCACCTTACGAGATGGAGCAAGAAGATAAAACATACGGATAAAGCTAAATAGGTAAGTTCACCATGCGAAGAAAACTTTGATCGGAGCATTCTATGCTACATGCTCAGCAACCGGCTCATGTTGTGTAGATACGGATTCATATGCTGGGAGGAGTTGCTTCAACTTGTGCAGCAAAACGATCATTACTGTATAGTGCTTTACGATCTCGTATACACTTTGTCCGGCGGAGGGAACAGACGCAAACTCATACAAGGCCAGTATGAACAAAACAAGTTCATTTGTGGTTCTATGATAATAATTAAGTTAACTTCGTTGACAAACAATTTGCGAAGATATTGAAATTTAAAAGAAAAATAAATCGATATAGAAAATTTAAAATATGTCCCGCAGTTTGACCTTCCCTTAAGCTTTGATTGTTTCAGTTATTTGGAAGGCAGAACATGAGACAGACTACCAAGTGCGACTCAGACTGAACAAATGCATTCCAGACCGAATGGTGACCCGACTAATGGCCGACAACACCACCGATCTTCGGAACGGCATGCGAGAACTTCTTCGCAACAAAAGTGCTTTCGCTGGGACACCATGAAAGTAAAAAACACTTTTTAATATGTTGTGGCAAGGCAGCACAGAGAGAAAATTGTCAAATTAACCTTGCAAAATAGTTGAATTTAATTTGAATAACTTGAATTTAAATAATTATCTATTATTAAACAAGATGCTTCTGTAACTGTCTTCACATGCATAGAGTTTAAGTATGCATGTTTAAGGTGTACAATTTAACGAGCGGGAATTACCAAACTTAATTGAATTAATCCGAAACTATTTAAAGTTTTCGAAGAAATGATGACTCACGAATATTTTATGTAACCAAGCAAACTTTGAAGCAAACTGGCATTTTTTAGAAACGCTCATGTTTAGATATCAAAGAAGAACTAATTTGTGAAAATTATTGAAGAATGATTCTCACACTTTTATCAATGTAAATAGCAGTACTAAATTTTGAAACAATAGGTAACGAGATCAACCGATCTGCTTCAAACAAACATTTTAAAAACCCAAGCCGGATCAAACTTTTAAATTAGACGATACAGGCCGGTGCTTCACCACTGCGCCACGGACGGTAGGACAACTTCGTACTTAAATAAAAAATCATTCCGTTCAACTAAATTTTTAATTATAATAATTAGTTTTTCAATTTACACTTCTTTTACCTTTTCCTATTCTGCCCATATTCCTTCTCGTGCCCTTCTTATTCTTGTAAGCACAGTAGGCTCATGAGCCCTAATAACAGGTTTTGATTTTCCAGGCTCACGCTTGTAATCGAAACCACAAAAACTTTGAATTTTGTAACTCAATTCTAATAAAAACTACATAACTCGACGAGAACCAGCTATATACAAGAACACCGTATTGAATCAATGATTTAAAAACAATTTTAATCAAGGGTCTAACAATACAACTGGAGCTGTCGCGGTGCTTATTAAAACAAATGAACTTCATAATTTTTCTGTGAAAATAAGCAAACTTGAGAGACGAATAACTAAATCAACCAGCTCTATACAAGAACATCATATTAAATCAATAAATTAATTATGAGTTTATCAATACAAACGAGCTGATTTTTGGGAACGAAATGGCGCAGTTTACCAACAACCCCAATACCAACAGTTGCTAGTTGGCTAGAAACATGTTGAATTTATGTTCAAAATGATAAGTTAGAGTTATCCTGGTCCCGAAAAACTTGCACAAAGAAAAACTTTAACCGTGTTCATTATCGATATATGGTGGTTTTATAATGGAAGAATTTAATCCTTTTTCAATTGCATTGTTTTGTCAAAGTTTAGCAAATTTGTTACTATTTGGCCAAACACTTAATTTAGTCGAGTTAATTTGAACTTCTGGCGCTGTGCGTCCCAGTGTATTGAAATTTTTATCGTCTGCAAAAAAAAACATTTCAAAACTTTTACTCGCACTCGAATAATCATTTATAAAAATAAGGGACAGAAGAGGACCTAACATCGAGCCCTGTTGCATCTCGCACATGTTCTGTCTCCAAGAACTGTTACTTTTCAGGTGACTGTTCAACCAATCTGAGGCTTTGCTTTTTATACCCAGGATGTTCTTTTTTTTAAAAAAAACCAGAAAATGAATAAGCTTTCAGAATTTCTGCGATTGTTTCCATTCTACTACATTGGTTTTATACAGACCACGATTGAACAATCTTTTTAACTATTGATGCAGAGCTCGGACCTTATGTCAGAAACCTGTCTAGACAATGCCATTAATCTGCTCCATTATGTTAATTGAAACTTGAAATTTTTTCAATGTTTTCTTTCATTATGATTTCAATTATTATTTTTTTCACTTTCAATCAAAATCACAAATTTTGAGTTTTATTTGATAAAACGGACAATGCTTTGTAACTTAATCGGGTTCGTCAACTGTCCCTCCACTGTTTCCTGGCTCAATGTTAAAATTTTTATATATGCATATCTACCATTAACAATGAGAAATAAGGATAGCCGGTTACTGCAAGTAGCACAGAATGTTCCGACAGTCTTAAAAAAATTTTTAAAACAAAAAAGTTTTTTTTACCAGTTGGTATCGTTTTTTTCTGCATGTTGTGATTAAAAAATCTAAACGAAAAACAGAATTTTAGCATCTTTGAGAGTCCTAGTAAAATCAGTCAATCAGAAAACAGTTTTTGACGAATAATCACTAGAAAAACGGAAAAAAAATAAACGCTAAAAAACTCATATTTGGAGGCAAGATTCGCATATGCTGAGAGTACCCTGACAGCACCCAACTACAGGGTTGAGAATTTCAAATTTTTTTTAAAAAATTAAAATTAAGTTTTCTTGAAATTTTCTAAAAATATCAAAAATTGCCTTTTCTCGTAAACTAAAAGAATTTGGTTAATCATATATCGAGGCCAGAATTGCAACACCTGGGGAAACCCTGACAGCATCCCCTTAACACTGAATTTAAACTGGCGGAAAAACGAAACAAGAATGTTAACCATTGCAATATACGATATAGCTTAAGCGTGCAAAAATTCTTTTGTTAAACATGCAAAAAATAATACGTTGAAAAAGCTTAAACATGGCGAGATAGTGAAGCCCGCATTTAAATATATAATAGATAGATTGAACGATAATGATAATGTGTCTGAAACGAAATGAAAAACTTGAATGAATTGTATTAAAGAAATCGTAAGCTTCAAAAAGAAAAAAGGCTCTGTCCGTTATTTGCTGTAAACTAAGATCAAAATTGAAAAAAAAACACAAAAAACGAAAGCATAAAATCTAAATAACTTCCAGAGAAAAAAATGCAGAAAACCCAAGAAAACTCTGAAGGCTTAAGCAAGGGCCCAATTAACATCAGACTCATGGAATATGAAGTTGATGCGCAACGATACGAGAGCCGTTGGATCGCAATAAAAAAAAGGTAATCATAAAAAAAAACAGAAAGAACAAAAAAAATTTCAGAAACTTCAGCTAGAAAGAACCACACTCCTGAATATCGTGCAAAACTTGCCACATATCTTCGTAGACAGAACAATGAAGTCAAAATTGGTAACAAAATATTCTGGAAATTTATGACTTTTTTCGAAATAATTTTCACTAATTAAAACAATACGTTATGCCATCAATTTCAATCGATTTCAAATAAAATTGCTCAACTAAACAGATAAATATTCAAAATAATCCCACAAACTTTTAGGTTTTACAAAAATCAAAAACCATGCAACCAAAAAAATAGTACTAAAACTAAGAAAACATGCATTTTCTCAGTTAAATTACCCTCTGGAATATAAGGAGAAAAAGTACTGAAAAAATTCACAAAAAAATTAACGAAATAAAACAACCGGCAAGTAAGCCGACAAAAACTGGAACAAAATCTAAAAAAATCAGACAAAAAATGAATACTTTTTCAGCTGTAGACATAGTATCACTTCAGTAGCTCTTTATGTAAACGGCACATATTTCGCCAAAACAGTAACCAGTCTATTAATTAGCAAAACAGCAGTACACTAACCAAGCATGCAGCGGGTAAAATATTATACTAATAACCATTTGACCATTCAGTGAACAAAGTTATTTACTTATTTATAGGCCACTAGTTTGACAAAAATTGCACAGAGGCGAAGCGGAGCGAAGAGAAAATGAGACGGAAATAACAATCGAACACGCAATTTTTTAGGAAAATATTAAAATAATTTCAAAAAACAGTTAAAAACAACCACTAGCAATAAAGAAGCCTTCAGTTTTCATTGGGCGGCTACTTAGCCGACAACAATTGCGTGGACGACCTTTGAGCCAAAAACAAAAAATGCCATAAAAAACTGTTGTCATAAAAAAGTTTGAACAATTTTTATACTTTAAAATCATGCAACAAAAACTAACTGAAACTTTTTTAAAAAATCATTTCGTTTTTGCTTTTGAAGCGCGACAAAATACGAGAACTTAGCCGATAAAACTAAGCCTAATAAACCATTTCGGCCGAAGAGCTTTTAAGCGAAAAAACAAGGAAACTATACTTTGTCAGGGCTACTATTTAACAAATGACAGCAGTAAAAAAACACCTGCATCTACGATGAAATTTGCCGACAGCACAAGGAAAATACCCGATAAATCAGCTGAGACGAAAAAAAAACAAAGCAGACAAACGAAAGTCCGACGATCAAGTTTTCCCGGAAAAAACAGTCAATTTCGTGCAGACTGAAAAATAAAGCTGCGAGCGCCCATTGTTGATTGAAAAACGATACTCCCATACTTTTGAGTTTTCAAGATCAATGTATTTTTCAGACAGTTGGAAAGTCCAATCGACTAAAGAAAACCGAATAAATGCTTGACCTATTTTTGAATACTTTTCAATATTTTTCCAATTTCCCAAAACATAAGTAACACAAAAGCCCTTTAAATTTCAAGAACATTTTATGATTGCCTTTTTTCACAAATTTAATCCAATCGAGAAAACTGAATCAATAGATATTTCAGTTTTTTTCCACTGGGAAAACTTAAAAATTTTAGAAAATTCAAAACCCAAATATAGTTTCATAATACCAAATTTTTTATCAAACGGCAATTTTAATTTAACATGCCAAATAACGGAACAAAACTATGGAAGCAAAAACAAAGCCGACAATCTTTGACATCAGTTGAGCCAAAAAAAAACTTCATAAAAAATTTTTAAAATCAACTTTATGTCTCCCTGAGACTACAATGATCAACACTTGCAAGATACTTGCTTGCAGTACAAGAAAAATCCAAGATGTGGCAACTAAGCCGACAATACTTGAGCAGACAAACGAGAGTCCGACAAATTAATTTTTACTGGAAAAACATTCAATTTTAAACATACTGAAAAAAAGCGATGTCCTGCCGTGACTCTAACCCCGAAAAAGCAACCACGCTACCTCTAAGCCAAATTTCAGGGCACATGGACGTTGTAAGGGTTGAAAAACAAACAAAAAGGCGAAGCTGAAGTTCGCACCACTTGCGATACAAAAATGAATGTTATGAAAATCAAACGGAAAAAATCAAAAACATCGTTTTGGTCAATAAAAATTGCAACAGAAGCCCAGAAAACCCAGAACAAAATTGCTGCACCATTAGAAACTCAGTCGATATTAATTAGGCCGAAAT